ATTTTCATTATTCATCTGAAAATGCATTGTAAAAATATTTTTATTTTTAGCCAGATAACTTAAATATTGCACATGAAAATTTGATCATTACAATTTATATCTAAAAAACAGCAAACAACAATTTACAGCAAACAAATGTTTCACAATAGACTTCTATTGAATATAATATGTTATAATCAGGGGACCCTTGATATTTTTTGTGGGCTATTATGTCTAACATTCTGCCATGCCCACCCAGTTCATATGTATATGATTTTGTAAATGCATGTAGAGCCCCAATTGTATTAGAGAGCCCCAATTCAAGGTCAAACACCAGGAAAAAAGTTTTTTTAAATGTTTGAATAGTCCAGAAGGATTTGTAGCCATGTTTTACCACTGGAGATATTTCTCCTTACTTTGTGAAATCTCACCTTTGGCAGTTGTCACTTATTGGAAATTTTGCCTGATCTCCTATTCCAAATAACTAAAATTTTGGTTTTCCCCTCACTCTGTTACAATAAACACTGTTAACAGAAATGCACTTGAATTAAAATCTCCCTCTATAAGGACACAGATAGCTATAAAAAAACTCCCCCACTGCATTCAAAATGAAATCAAAATGGCTGATGTCCTCTTTACGATAATATCCGAGTATTCTCCCCAGAGTTATACTTGCCTTTTCTAGTGAGAAGTTGCTGACTAGATCACCTGGTCACTTGTTAAAAGTCTTCCCAGTTAGGTCCTATTATTCCTTAGGATTTCCAATTACTAGAAGTACTCAGAAGTTGATAGAAATAAAATTGCAGAGCTTATGCGTGAGTCATGACGGGAATATTTGTGACAGGAGGCCGGGTGATATAGTCAGCAATTGTTGTTGTTTATTATTATTTTATTTTACTGCATTGGGGTGAGGTGAGTATAGTGCTCAGGGGAGGGATGGGGGGCAGGGTGATATCTAATATATAAACTTAAAAATTATTTCTAGTACTCTGGGAAAACTATACATTTGTTAAAGGAATCCAGTTAAAGTCTTTACCAAAATGTTGGCTACCTAGATACTGCAGGATCGTTATGGCAAATCTGCATCATTCCTATGAAAGGAGCTTGCATTAGGGGTGTTTGTTCAGTATGAGCAGCATCAGGTGGTATAAAAAAGGCATGTCTGTGCACATATCTGACAGATCATCATCACTCACCTGACTGCCATCTTACATCTATGATTAACCATAAATTTCAGGGTTCTTTCCAATTTCAGGATACAGCTGCAGAATCCAGTCCCCTCTAATGCTAGAGCTAATTGTGTGCATGCACACCGATATGATAATCCACATTGTGTGTGTTTTCTGGAATATTAGGAAAGCACATCTGTACATACTGTATCATGGTGCTCTTCTGACATTCATTATGTGGGTTGAGAATAACAAAGTAAACTGTACAGGTCTGCTGTCCATTCTCCCAAGCAGATGGCTGCTACAGTTGTGTGTCACTTGCTTATTACATCCTCTTAAGATTAGTAGCGGCATGTCCAGATGGTCCTGGAAGAACAGCTGTGTGTAAAAAAAGAAAATAAATGAAACCTGCGTGATGATTTTTTCAGGAGAAAAAAAAAATGTCCTAGTTGCAGGAAAGGAAAAAATACCCAGTGCTTCTTTCTCTCCGCTCTCGCTAAAACGTTTGCTAATCATTTGTCGTTTGTTTGTATTTTTTTTTAATTTAAGTAAATATTCATAATTTGCTCCTTTAATGCGGCTGTGCATTTATTTTACACAAGGGCCGAATAAATAGGAAAATTATCGAAAAACTTGTCACAATGCAAAAATCCAGACGATGCCTCAGAGAAACGTATGTTACAGTTGGAATGTTTTGAACAAATTTATGCCATTAGCGCTAAAACATGAACAGCCAGGTAGAAAATCCCAGCAGAACATAAGCAAATGTAATGAATTATTCATGATGAACCTTTTTTTTTGTTAAACTGCAAATGGTGTTTTGAAGGTTGCTCATTTTTTTTAAATTTTTTTATTTTTACGCTGTCATAAGATGTTTGTTAATGAAATGGCCTTATGTGAAATAATGCCAGAAATGGATGGATGGAACTGAAAACATGTATTACAAGTACTCCATTTCCCTTTTTTTTATTGTAGTGCCCCTTGTAAATTTACAAAGAGTGCTTCTATGCAGTGTGCTCTATATAATGATTTTAATGTAAAAAAAAAAAACATTTACAGCAATGTTTTTAAAGCAGCATTTATTCATGCGTGTGTTTAATTGTGAATTCAAAAAACGTGCATGTGTTTGTTGAATATAGATTTCTTCTTTAGAAAATAAAATGATTGTTGGCGCTTGGAGCCATGGCACGAGTATCAGCAAAACAGCAGAATTCATTAAATGTTCAAGAGCAGCTGTTGTTGAAGTGTTTAAAGACTGGACTGTCAGCCGCAAATCTGGGTCTGAACGTGCGAATTGTGGCCGTCAGCGACTAGTCAATGTTAGGGCAGAACGGAGAGTGGCAAGCCTGGTACAAGACAACAGAAGGGCAACAGTGCAGTGTAAGATTCCTCGCATCACCTTTCAACATCTCGTGGAGTCACGAGGCGGCCCAACAAAGTCATCTCGTTGCCCAATGAAGTACTGATGGGGTGGTCATATTAATCTGGCCACTCAGTGTATGTGCTGTCGAGGTCTGCAAGTGGGTTTTGCGTTGCCATGGTCCAATGTTTTCACTATTAGTATGCCAGACCATGCAGACAGGCAGGCTGGAGGAGATCAGTAGCACCTAGGCACAAACAATGGTGAAAAAGGGTGCTTTAGTAAATTAATGTTATCCAGTTAAGGATTAAAACTACTACTAAACCTGTGGGTATCTTGATGTCTAAAAATATAGGTTGCAGGCCTTAGCTGGAAGCTTTAAACAATATCCCTCTCCAGAACTACACGTACCTCAACCCCTTTCCCCAGTTGACGATGTCAGTACCTTCTGATAGATGGCCCAGGCCCAGGCCCTGGCTTGTGCATTGTGGGATAGTGGCATTGGGGAGCATATATTTCACTATTAGGATGTTCAGAAACCTGCTGGGAAATGGAATGAATGGACATCTTACACCTCCTACACTTGTTACTACACTAATAAATGTACTCATTCAAGTACATATATCAACAAACTTTTGTAACTTTTGTTCTTTTTTTTTTTTTTTTTTTTTAGGAGGTGTTCCTTGTGGTTGTAGCCATTCTGGTCTTTCTTCTGGCCTTTTATGCCTTCTTTTACCTTAAATTAACTCAGCCTGTGGAACCCAGAGAAGATTATGAGGACTAAAGAATGAGATATGAGAACATCGATTTTGTCATAGAGGACTCAAACAAAGTGAATAAATACACCACACAGTAAAGAGTTACTGTATCTACACATTCCAGTACTAAGAACATTCCATGCCAGGGGCAATGGTCGTAAAAACCAAAATGCACACTATTTAATGCAGCCATGATTAAAAGAGAGCTACAGACAAATACACCATTTTCATTTTGATGTACTCGGTTGCACAAAACCAAATGATCACCTATATAGCCAATAACCAAATGGTCTGTTTACCATAGAACAGTTTCTTGCAGAATATCGCAGTCCACCGATTATGTTGTGTACAAACTGCAGAAACCCATATCAGTTAATCAATCAGACTTTTCTTATTGATCTATCTTAAAAATGAAATTGTAGTTAGATAGCAGGTAACTCAAGTAATTTACACTTTGCCACCAATTTGTCTTATTTAAAGCACTGGGTATTAGGCACACACAACGCTCTCTTGCTTCCCAGAGTTCAGTACATGAGAGGCCAGTCAACGGGCTCAAACTTTGCCACGAATTGAGAGAGAATATGCATGGACATTTGCCAAAATTGCTATTTTCATGGCACAATTAGCAATTTCTCATTTGCTAAAATTTTATTGAAAATGGCAGATATTTTCATCATGCAGAAAAATTAGCAATAAAATAGTTCCCTTTTATAGCAAGGTACATATGGTGCTTGGCTTTTTTTGAGTAACAAAACCATGTCATACTTGGTTGCTCTATGACGGGGTGGGGGAAGAGATTGTTATAGATTTCCAATGCATTGCTGATGTGTTAAAGCCCCCCGTTCCTTCCTTGGGATACCTGTGATTTAGAACTAATGGAAGATACAGTGGAAGCATACCTGGCAATTTTATTTTCTATTTCAATGAATTGCCATTAAAATTTAATACAATCACTGTAACATAGATAACACTACAGTCATTGACAATAGGCACAGGAGATGTTTGTGAATTGTAATATAATCATATCTATCAAAGTTGCCTTTTGGGGTGCCCCTATTGCCTTGTATAAATGCCTTAATACAAGGAATCAGACAAAAACCTTGGAAGCAAAATCCTTAGTGGCTTTTTGCTATAACTGGCAGTCCAGCAAAGTGCCATTTTTATAGCTGAGATCAGGACAAGGGAAGTATCTTATGATCAATAGAATGGCAACTGGACAGGTTAGGAAACTTTGTCCCATCTCCTTATTGTTTTCCCTGTGATAATCCAGCACTGAATGTGTGTGCAGTAGACACCTCTATTATCACACAATAAAAAGGTTTCTGGCCAGGAAAGATACTTGAGGACTAATATACCATGCTTGCACATCCAAAAGCACTCTACTGTCTAAGACCTTCTTGTTTGCTGCCTATTTCAGGCCAAGTTGAGGGGTAGTCATCAGGTATTCATTAGGGATATATCAAAGTCTACAGTGAGATAATACAATATCTAAGTAGATCATCTGGCAGAATTTGGTCAATTTGTCAAAAGAATTAAGTTTTACATAGAACATAAGTTAATGCAAAGGTTGTGAAATGGAAATGTGGATGACTTCCAATACTTGCTTTTTTAAAAATTAATTACTCCTCAGCCTAACGATGAGGTGTACACTACTATTTTGCCATATGCTGAAACACATAGCATAGTGGTGGCATATGGATACAGTTTAAATACAAATTGCTGGGTTACACTGCAGTTGTCACATAACATTGATCTTTGTGCTGTGATCTTCATAGAAAACCTTGTTGCAGTGTATCACTAGCCACTGCAGACTGTGTGATCCGAGCCAAAAGCAAACGCACGTATTTTACAATCAATTGTACTCAGAGTTATCAGGAACTGGATTTCATTGTAAGCAATTTTGGAGCTCATATTTAAAGTATGCATTCAAATGTATGGGTTACTCCAATCCCTTCTACCTAGAATTCCAACCACAGGGACCGAGACCTGAGCTGGGTAGTATTAACACACATTTTTCATTCGGGCGCCTGTTCTGCAGTGCCCAGACACAACAATAAATTCTAAAAAGATGAGATAGAGAAATAAATATACCAAGGAGCAAAAACCTATTGTGTTTGTTTACTGGTGAATTTTAATTTGACTGGAGCTCTCCTTTATGCTTTTCTGGTCTGATTTTTTTTTCCTACATAAATTTGTTAATTATAAAGTACAAAACAGAAGTCCTTTGGGAGAGATTATTTTTCAAGTTTTGAATTTTCTGGATGTGTGCCTAATATGTCGATTTGGAAACTTTATTATGATTAGTGATGCCATGTTTTTAATTAAAAGCATTTTCAATATGACAGTTTCTATAGACATGTTCTTCTTTTTAAGCGATGCTGCGTTGTTTTCTATTCAGTACATATTAAACAATTTTGCATTCTCCATTGGTATGCAGAGTTTGTTTTGTACATGGTAACATGTCACCCTGGGGACAACACATACAGGCTGATGTGATCTCACTCTCACCTCTAGAATGTAAAGTGGTAAGTGGATTATGTATCCTAAAAATAGAAACAGTTGAAAATAAGAAGGCTAAAGGAAAATGATCATGCATATTAATGAGCACTCATTATGAGTTAGTATATGTAAAAATGTCCCTGCTTCCTGATAGCTAGTCACAGTTCTGTTTCTGTCCAGTGAAGAGAAGGTGTTTTAATGTCATCACTTCCAACAAGTGATTCAATGGGTTGGTTGAGGCCCCTAAGTTGGTTTAACTGCAATATTTTATTGTTGGATTTGGCATGTTTCTTTAACTTGAAATGTCTTATATCACTGGAGCCTCCCGTCATTGGCATATTTGGGTGTTGAATATGTAGATATGGATTACTCAGATTCATACTCAGCTTCATCAATCTGATTGGCACTATTGAATTTGAATCTGATGAATTTAGCACAACATCGGTGGATTATTCTCCCAGTGGAGAAGTGGCTTGTAGACATCACTGCAGAAACTCTGAGCAAGACTCCTCCATGCATTCCACCATTGAAAACATACTGTAAACTCTCAGAAAAACAACAACTTTTTAATACTTTTCACAGAGACCTATCATCCACTGCCTTCACAATCCATAATAATTATATCTCGGCTAACAGACATTAGGAGCATGCATTAAGATCCTGGAAGCGGGCAAAAGGTTAGGGAGGAAGCATCACAATCAATAAAATCATCACTAATCCAAAGGTTGCATTTGTAATAAGTTTCCATTATTTACTTGCTTATCAAAATATTGCCCTGCAATGCTACGTTCTTTGGAAACTTGTGGTTTAAGCTTTTCAGGATCTCTAGACTAGTGCCGCTAAACATTTCTGCAATTTCTTCTTTGTATACATTATTTGGTGTTTTCTCATAGGTGCCACATTTTCTTTACCATCCATATTACATTTTTCCGTAGCTCTCCTATTACAGCACCTTTATACAAACCTTACTAAAGCAGGCCTTGGCTGTTATAATGAGGCAGTGACATGTTTGAAGATACTACATACGTATACATATTGAGTGAGCCCTTGAGAGTGAAAGTGTTGTCGTAAGAAGTAACTTTTCATACATCTGAGGAAATAGGCTTTTTTATCTGGAGTAAGTGGAGGTTCAGCCCATTTCATCCCCTCACATGCCATCTGTTCTTTTCATTACTACAATTATAGTGTATATCAAAGCAAAGTAAAAAAAAAAAAATACATCTCTGCAGTGCGTGCACATTTCCCCACGTTTTATCTCTTTAAATGAGGTGACAACACATGGCATTTTTGTGTAGTGAGTGTTGTCAGCCCTGCCCATTGTCTTTTGCAAACACTCCCACTTTCAGATCTCTACAATATAAAGGCTAATCATTCTGTAAGAACTATGAGAACTGTTTGAGATAACACAGGAGGTGTGCACAGGTCACAGGACAACTACATTTCTGACAAGGTCATTGTTTTTTGTTTTTGCACTTATCAAACATATAAAATGCTCCCAATAGTATTTTTAACAGGTCAAAAGGGAGCAAATAGATCTTTAAACAAGTCATCTCTCAGAGCTAATTTGAGCACCACACTATAGGTAATAGTGACCTGCAAAACCACTTTTAAATAGGAGGAGGATTAAGCAACACTGTAAACCACTTTACATTTATTTATTTTTACTTTACTTTTTTGGGGGGAAAAACACTGATACTTGGGTTCAGCTTTAACATTCATGAATTTACATTTTTTTTAAATAACTTAGCTGTGTGAAAGATGTCACACTATACTTGCATTCCAGGATTAACAATTAGGAACTTTCCATAAAAATAACTGAGGTCACTGAAAGATTTCACATTGATACCTTTGGATTCAAGCTTCAAAGTTTAGGAGGTTTTCATAGACATACATTGAAATACAGAGTAAGCACAGTGACCAGAGTCATAACAGTTGACAGATGCTTTTGCCACAAGGACAAACACAATCAATGGTAACACCATATCCATCCAGGTCCATGGTAAGCAACATTTTGTGAGCCACGCAAGCACGTTGGTCTAATAAAAAAACAGGATGTATCTTAAAATTGAAATCCTCTTCAAATCAAATATATTTGAACATATAATTATGTAATATTTTACCACCATTCCTTGAAAGGAGAAAACAGCCCTATGCAGTCAAGTGTTTGATGAATGATGACAGGCTCTGGCTGGGGGATAGCTCCTGATGCTGCTGCCACTAGTAGTATGTTCAATTAATGAATACTTGTCATTTTGTTCTGGCCCATGTGCATTTGTTCATATTTGTATGCGTTAGATCCTGAATTTCACTTGGTATCAGCCTCCTGCAGTCCCTGTACAACAGAAACAGACTGGGAGGGGGAAACACATGGAGCCAATCAGTTCATATGCTGACAAAGGGGAATTATGTGAGAAAGAGGAATCAGAGTGACAGTGCTGCTTCTTTTTACTGTCCAGTCACAGATTTGGGCAAGTCCAGTACAGCCTGGGCTCAGGGAAGTGGGGCCATCATTCAACCATGATTACATTTTTTTTGTCTCTTAATAGGCTATTCGTGTTTGTTTGTTTTTCTTAATTTGGGCAGTAGTTCTGTCTTAAGCTTTCAGCATCCACCAAAAGTTCTAAGCGAAGTTA